CTTGTACTTCTGTGGGAAAATTGAGATCAACCACTTCTACTGTGCAGATCCTCCTCTCATCAAAATGGCCTGTGCTGGGACCTTCGTGAAAGAATACACAATGATCATACTGGCAGGCATCAACTTCACATACTCCCTGACTGTAGTTATCATCTCTTATCTATTTATTCTCATTGCCATTCTAAGAATGCACTCAGCAGAAGGGAGGCGCAAGGCCTTCTCCACCTGTGGCTCCCATCTGAAGGCTGTGGTCATATTTTATGGTACTCTGATCTTCATGTATCTCAGACGTCCCACAGAGGAGTCCGTGGAGCAAGGGAAGATGGTGGCCGTGTTCTACACCACAGTGATCCCCATGTTGAATCCTTTGATCTAGAGTCTCAGGAACAAGGATGTTAAAGAAGCCATGAACAAACTGATTAACAAAGCATCTTTAATGAATTAAAATAATGTTGAGTTGATTTTGTTTCCCAGTATTACTAAATTTTGTTTTCTATTGTTTAGTTTCCTAGTATATTCACCCAAAGACTTTTTGTGGATGAAGAAGGAAAACAGAAAGCAATGAAAATTGTTAAAAACCTCAGTTGATTTACCTGTTCTTGATGATGAGCACATTCAATATTAGTTCAAAAGTAATAAAGTGACAAATTGAAAAGATCACTTGTACAAAAGTTTATGTGTGCACTACTTAAAATTACCATCTAATTATAATTAACAGTATCTCATACACTTTGTTTTTCTTATTCAAATGAGCTCCTGATGAGTTTTGGAAATGTTCATTTGCCCTGTCAAAAACTAATTTATTTTGGATAACAATAGCATATTTAGGCCAGTTTTCTATTCAGGGCAATGCTCAATGACAGTTGGGAGATTATTGCATGTTTAATCTTCCTTAATTGTGGTTGATGGGTCTCTCAGAGACTTCTGTTTTGAAAATCACAATATTATTGTACTTAATCATTTTTTTACGTTTCCCTTGTTTATTGGCATGCTTCTCTTCAAGGATTCCAGTAACCTTCATGTTGCAACCCTAACTTTGCAATGATCAGACAGAGCACATTGCCCATGTCTTGCCTTTGTCTTCAGTCTGACTGAAAAGTGGGGAGAATTAGTGGGTTAAGTGCGTTGTCAACACATGGTCATCAGAATCCACCAAATCAATTAAATGGACATTCCCATGTGATGTTTTTTATATCTGTATCAAAGATATGTTATTTTCTTAAATTTATTCATCTGGAAGAAAGTTAGTTACAATGGTCTATTTGTTGGCAACAGTACATCCTATCAAACTAATATTAACAGAACTTGATATCCCTCTTATAACTCACTTCAGACTGACTTAATTAAACCTGGTAAATAATAAATGAAAATAACTTGCAATTATTGTGAAGAAAATGCACCACTGAAGAAATGTAATTCACATATGTATACTGTCTTATTTTTAAATCTACATGTTCTTGAGATATTGTGGAGTCACAATTCCCTGACCAAGCAAGTTAATTTAAAGCACTTTATCTATAATAAATGAGAAGAAACTCAAGAGTATTGGGTACTTGAACACTGAAGGATGAATAAGAAAAATTTGTCTTTGCACAATTTTGTCAATAATTTCCCAGACTGAATCGGGGCAATATAGAGTTTAGAGTTGATCAATAATGTAGATTTTTAAAATTTTTTAATTTGTTAGTTATCTCAACTAGGCCTAAAAATAACCAGCCTAGTAGTTATTTTACATATGCATATTTTATGCTTAAAATTAAAGATAAAATAATCCACAATCTCATTGAAGTGACAATATACTTTTTAATTCTATGAAAGTAGGAAAGTACAAATAATGTGAATTATTAAGTGCTTTCTATGTAAGAGGTGGTGGGGTAAGAGCTCTCCTGTAGTATCTGGGATCATCATAATCACACTGTAAAATAGTAGTTTCTAATTTCCAGATGTTTCTGAATTCCAAATCCATCTACTTCTTTACCTATGACAACTATAAACCCTCTTTCTCCCAGCTCCTGCCATTATCTACATTGTGACACTTAAGAATGGCCCTGAGATGTAGCATGCATGCATTATTGATATCCCATTGATATCATTGGTTACCTGTGAGGAGTTCTGCTTCCTCACAAGTTGAACATTAGAGAAGCACACTGAGGCAAGCATATAAAGCAGGGTTTATTTAAAAAAGGGTAACATAGACGTCTCCAGGGAGGGAGAAGGGGGCCATAGATGGTATCCTGGTATCCCAAGAAGTGAGAAGGTCTGCCTTTTTAAAAATATGTCTTAGGCTTCCTTTGTTCTCTTGATCTCTTCCCTTTATATCTCTCCTTCCTGCATATGTCACTAGGCCCAGGAGATGCTCTGTGGGATGGCCAAAAGTTGAGAAGCAGATGGATAGGGGACAGGCAGGATGGAGCAGCCCAGGTCACATTAATTAACAACTTTATAACTCCCTGTAGGGGAGGGCAATTCCTCCGACAGGTTGGAGCAGGGGCAGGTTATCTTGATTGGGTCGAGGAAGGGCTCTGTAGGAATTAAGATTTCAATTCCTCCATTCCTCTGGATCTGACTCTTGCCTATCTTCCTAATTCTGGCTTCACCAACTCCTCACTCCAGGTGCATGAGAGGAAGGAAAGTAAATATCCAGCACTTCACATAATGCACACCCATATTACGGAGATCCATCACTGCTAATTCGTGAATGAAAAAAAAAAAAAAAAACAGAACCTATGTGGTGGTGGGAGAAAAATTATGTCACTGTATCAAGTATTTTCATATTTCTATTTTAAGAATATTCTTCCCATCAACACTCATTGACTTCTACCTCTGAGATGTTTCTAGAATTTTAGTCATTATTTCTTTAATAATTACATAGACAGTACCTTAGAGAGATATTCCCAATGCTTCTAATGCTCAAGATTATGTTATAAATACTGAGAAATTTCCATTTGCTGTTATCTTCGGCTGATGGTAGGTCTGTGGGTTTTATATGTTTTTTGCAAACAGATTCATGCAGTCAAATCTTATAATTTTTTCCTGCTCTTTTTAAAAAGAAAACTATGTCTTTATTCATAGATTTACTTGGTATCAAATTATTTTACTAGACCATTGATTTTCTCATGCTTTTAAAATATAGATGAATGGATTTGGGAATACTGAGGCAGTGGGGGCCATGAATCCAGTAATTTAAGCAACTTCATGGAAAACAAATTGCAGTTTATAAAATTTAAATTAGATTTCTTACATGTCAATAACAAAATCTACCTACTTGATTTTTGGATAAAGAACACATATCTACGTAATAAAGTGTTTTATCACAGAAGTCGCTTGCAATCTGACCCCAATAAAAACCTGGAAGAATGGGGAGAAGCAGTGGTCTACTGTGTATATAGTATACCCTACTCTAAGGTCTCCTTTCTTAATTTATAACATGGACATGTTGATAGAACTTGTTTTAAAGGAAACTGCATGCAAATGTTTTAGTGAACCATCATGAAAGGTAGGCATTCTTTCAAATATTATCAACTTGGAAGAGTTAAATTTAGAAAATTCTTAGAGAATGTTATTATTATTATTATTGGAATAATTAATGTGTGATCTGAAGTGCTCTTGTATGAATTATGAAGCTGGTATATAGATCAGGACACTTTTTAAAAAATGTATGTGTGGCAGTTTCTGAATACTTAGTACATATAATTACTAAATACTAAATTGGGTAGTTTTAAGAGTTCCAAGGTTAATAAGAATAATCCCGCTATTACTCAGCTAGTGATTATGTGTAAAGAAAGAGAAATATATATACTTGGCAGGGATTAAAATTATAGTACTATTATCTCTTGCAATGCCTTGATGCTATATTTAACATATTTCACATTTTAAAAAAAGAGTAGTAACATTCAGAAATAGGATCAAATCCAACTTTGATAATGAGAGAATATGGGAATTTAGTTAAGGTCATATTTTTTTACATAGAAAAGCCCATGACTTCAGCTACATTTAAAACCAAATTCCACAACTACCTATTTTCACACTTATGAAGTTCCAAAATAAATGTGCTACTGTCATGAAAACACTCTACAGGGATACTTAAATTTAAAATTATAGGGCCTATTATGTTACTAATCCATTTTTCATATAGTGATAAAATCTGCATTGCATTTTATATTGTGTAGGTAGGATAAAGGTAAATGTAATTCAAGACATTTAAGAATAAAGAAGTATATTCACATTTTTTTTTAAGTTTAAAGTTTTTATGTTTTACCTGATTCTACTGAAATTTCTTTCCATCACCTACAATTTTATGCAACCAAGTTATACATGTGGTAAGTTTTAGCTAAAAAGTTAAAATAAATCAACCACAAAGATAAAGCTAACCATAATTCAAGAGTATACAAAATCATAATGCCCACTTTGCACTGAAAGTTTACAACTTTAACTACTACTTGTATGCAGTTTAAAAGCAAATACTTTTTTACTTTTTAATCAAACTATAGCTGGAAATATAGGTGGGGGGGGGACACTTGGCAAAAGTTTGTTTTTGGTAATAGAAGACAATGCAACAAATAATCCAAATGGAACAACACCAGTATTTAAATTTCTAACTTTTAAACAAAACACATACACTTACTTACTTTTCTTAAAAAAAAAAAAAAAAAATTCTGGTAGTAAATTGGATTGACAGAATCTTCAGTTGTAAATAAAAAGTATAAATTTCCAATTTTAGCCTTCTAGCTAGCTAATATGTACAGCCAGCTAGTTCTCTAAAACAAGTATTATGTCACCCTAAAAGATCCCTGCTAAAAATCAATTGTATTTAAATGGGTCTTACTGAAAGAGGACATTCATGATATTAGAAATCTTTTAAAAAGTGAGTATGATAGGGCTACAATAGCAACATTACTATCAATAAGTTACAGAAGAGATTATTGCTGTACTTTCCCTCATAAACACTGTCAAACTGTTTCAGTTACAAAAGTACAACCAAATTACTTTCTCTTACCAAATTTCAATGTTCCACCACTGTAAAATTTTATTCAGCAGAGAATAATTCTTAATCTTTTCTGTAAGAATTCAAAGTATTTAAATGTGTAATTTCACATTATACTACCATGTTTTGCCCTTGTTTTCCAAATACACAAAACAATATATTTTCCCAAAAATGAAATAAGATGTCCACATTAAAAAAATAAAGCCTACAAAAAGTTCCAGAGCTAAAAAAGATTATTCATATGGCACAAAGTGATCTCCCACTAGTCCAAAGTCCAAAACATTTAAATGAAGTTCATTCAGATATCTTGTTTGCTTTTCCATGGAATATTAAATTTGAAGTGAAATCACATTATTTTTAGTTCTTGAGTCAACAAATATACACAAATGTTTTTCTAGTTATTAAAAATAGGAGACCAAGTTGAATGTGCCAAAGTGATATAATTCAGGTGGATTTTCTATTTTCATCATGAAGAAAACGAGAGAAAGGATTTCCTTGGTTGGTTTCCATAGCTTGATAAACCAAAAACAAAAAAACTGCCACAACAACAAACAGCAAAATTTTTATCCATACGGGAATGGAACGTCCCTTTTTTGTCTTTTCTGATTTGACATCTGCCAAAGGAACATACTTAGGAACATATTTAGATGAGAAAGATTCCTCCATCCTGAAATCACCAAGTTCTAATGGCCGGCCTGCAGCCCCTTTGATTGGTCTGCGGCAACTAGCACTAATTCCTGTTGGTGTAGATGCTTCTTAGGGGAATATTTCCTTAAGAATATCTCTTTCTACTCTTCTTTCCTCTGTTTTTTCTCCCACCTGGTTGTGCTCAAGTCTTCTTTGCTTGAGTGTTACTGGAGTCTTTGCTCTGCCCTTTAGTGGTTCTCTCTTCTCAAGCTTGAGCTCTATTTTAGAGTCTTCTTCATTGTCACTGTATCTGTCAGAGTCATTACTTCCATTCTGCCTAGTATTTTCTGCTGACGAGGAAATTGTTGGTAGAGGAGTAGAAGATCTTGATTCTGGTCCTTGTTCTCTCAGTTTCAATAGCTTTTTCTCATACAGCTTCCTGGTTGTTCCCACAATAGGACCAGGATTCACCCCATATTTCACAAGCTGATCCAGAAGTTCTTCATTAGAGAGCTCTGTTACATCTAGATCATCCTTATCTTCCAGTCTGGGCTTATCAGTTTTCTTTGTTGCTTTCCTGCCGACGGTGGCGCGGCCGCGGCCCGCGGTGGAGGGCCCGGAGCTGAGCACTGGGGTGGGCTCGCGCTCCTCGTCGCTGGAGAAGTCCGGGGGCCCCTTGCTGTTGGCGCCCGCGGCGTGCGGCGGCCGGTTGCGTGCAGTGAGGTGCTGCAGGTAGAGCTGCACGTACACGTCTTTGCGCTGCTCCCCGGCCGGGAGAGTCACATTGTTGGCGACCAGTTCACTCTTCAACTTGTCTTTCGTCAGGACCGAGGGGTCTTCCAGGAACTCCGGCATCTCCGGGATCTACTAGTCCCCTTCCCCGCAGCCTCACTGCCGCCGCGCTCACTCCTGGCCGGGGGCCGCGCTGCCGCCTCCGAGCCTTACGGCTCCCGCCCGGGCTATATTCACATTTTAATAAATTTCTCCATAGCAGCGCAGACTGGGTCTCTGTTAAGGCAATGCCAAATTTCACCGATGTAACAGAGTTTATTCTCGTGGGGTTGACCAGACGTCGGGATCTCCAGGTACTCTTTTTTGTGGTGTTCCTTGTGGTTTACATGATCACTCTGCTAGGGAATATTGGCATGATCATTTTGATCAGCATCAGTCCACAGCTTCAGAGTCCTATGTACTTTTTCCTGAGTCACTTGTCTTTCGTGGATGTGTGGTTCTCCTCCAATGTTACCCCCAAGATGCTGGAAAATTTACTGTCAGAGAACAAGACTATTTCTTACGTGGGGTGTTTGGTGCAGTGCTATTTTTTCATTGCCCTCGTCCACGTGGAGGTCTACATCTTGGCAGTGATGGCTTTTGATCGCTACATGGCCATCTGCAACCCTTTACTGTATGGCAGTAAAATGTCCAAGATTGTGTGTGTTCGGCTCATCTCTGTGCCTTATGTCTATGGATTCTCTGTGAGTTTAATATGCACATTATGGACATATGGCTTATACTTCTGTGGAAATTTTGAAATCAACCACTTCTATTGTGCAGATCCTCCACTCATCAAGATTGCCTGTGGAGGAGTGCGCATCAAAGAATTTACAATGATTATTATTGCTGGAATTAACTTCACGTATTCCCTGTCAGTGGTCCTCATCTCCTACACCCTCATTGTTGTCGCCGTGCTGCGTATGCACTCTGCTGATGGGAGGAAGAAGGCCTTTTCCACCTGTGGGTCCCATTTGACTGCTGTTTCCATGTTTTATGGTACCCTCATATTCATGTACCTCAGGCGACCAACTGAGGAGTCTGTGGAACAGGGCAAAATGGTGGCTGCATTTTATACCACAGTGATTCCTATGCTGAATCCCATGATCTATAGTCTGAGGAACAAGGATGTGAAAGAGGCAGTCAACAAAGCAATTGCCAAGGTCAATTTGGGGCAGTAAAATTGCAATAGGTATTTAAATGCTGTGTCAGTTCTGTGATGTATGATTAATCATAAAGTTTCTTTCTCAAAAACTACTATCTAATATAAACTCTTGCATACACTAAAAGATCCATTCCAACAAAGTCATGATTTACCTCATGCATACATTCTAATAATTAACCATGTTTTATTTTATATATATATATATATATATATATATATATATACACAACAATATTTTGAAATTGTCATAGGACCACTCACAGCAGATGTAAAATTATGCTCTTGTGGTTATTGGAGCTACTTATGACTTTAGAAAAATAAATGTTAATTTGGAAGAGTATTTTTGCAGTTGAACTTTATTTCTTAAGGCATTTTTGATATGTACTTCCTCATCTTAAATTTCATGTGAAATTAATGTCTCCAGCAGAAAAAGTAATAATTCATTTATTTCCCATGACTATAGAAATTTGATGGTGCTGATCTTCATACATAATGGATAGGTTTTTATCAGTGAAATTGTATTCAGAATTTTCAAATAATGTTTTATCATAGTCATAAGGTTTGGACTTAGTGTGTATATTTGATAGTTAACTATTTGTGTTTCCACGAAACATTTTCCACCTTAATTTCTTGGTTCAGACATTAATATGAATTTTAGATGTCAGCATGTAAAATATCTTGTACAAGAGAATTTTCACCATTCATCATAATCAAAAGACAAATGAGCCGGGCGCAGTGCACATGCCTGTAATCCTAGCAGCTTGGGTGGCTGAAACAGGAGAATCGTAAATTCAAAGCCAGTCTTAGCAACTAATAGGCAGTAAGCAACTCCGTGAGACCCTGTCTCTAAATAAAATACAAAATAGGTTGGGGATGTGGCTCAGTGGTTAAATACCCCTGAGTTCAATCCCTGGTACCAAAATAAATAAATAAAGCAAATTAATGTGGATTTTCTAATATTTAAAATCTAACTTTTAGCCACTGAAATTATTACATTATGCTTTTGTTTGTTAATATTACTTGAAAGTATTTGCTTCCAGCTTTTTCTCGTTAATATTGTATTCTTTGAATCTCAATTAGCAACTCAAATCCAGTTGTCAGTAGATAGAGTTTTCCACCATTCAAGTGGCTGTGAATTTAAATGTACCTCTTCAAAATGATGCCACATTTTGGCCTAGTTAAAAATTCTTAAAAATGCACTCTTTAATTTACTTATATTGGTGCATCCACTGTCTATTTATTTTACCGTCTGTTCCTGTTTTAGGTAATATATATATTACTTAAATATACCTATATAATATTTAGGTAATATATATATATATATATATATATATAAAATACATATATACACACACACACACACACACACACATATATATATTTGTGTACTTTTGGTGATCCTTGCTGCTTACCAGTATAAGGTCAAATGTGAAGGAGAAATGTTTTCTGATGACTGAGTTTAACCTCAGATAACTGCTGATACAATTAAAAGGGTGCACACTTTTGTATGTGCAGAAGGAATCTGAGAAGTAAGTAGCATAAATGTCAGTAATGCCTCTGGTGATGTGGCATAATTCAAGTGCAGAAAGTATTGTTATCTCTGCCAATTTGCTATGGGCCATTTCCCCAACAACTTAGAATGCATCTAATGAAAATCAGTATAGCTCTTTCAAAAATGTTGATTGTGAGAACAGGATGTAAAAGTAGAACTGATTTGTACAGAAATTATGTTTGCAATATTTCTGTTTTCAAATTATACAAATTTGCTTTTAAAGAGTTGGGGTGAAGTAAAAAATTAGAGCTGCCCAAGTAACACTTATTTGTGCAGAGATTGCTTTCATAACAGGACATTTAAAAGCCCTACTTCTGGTGATTATCATGATAGTGACATTCCTCAATCTTCACTATTTCACTTGTTCTTTTAGAAATGAAGAACTAGAAGTATAGCCACATCTGAGCCCCATGTTCTTTATTATTATTATTATTATTATTATTATTATTATTATTATTAGTCACTATAAATTTGTCACTGAGTTGTGAATAGAAATTTATTTATAACATCTAAAAATTATCTTCTTAAGCCAGGTATGGTGGCATACATCTGTAATCCCAGTGACTTGGGAGGCTGAGGCAGGAGGATCAGGAGTTCAAAGCCAGCCTCAGCAAAAAGCGAGGCACTGAGCAACTCAGTGAGACCCTGTCTCTAAATAAAATACAAAATAGGGCTGGGGATGTGGCTTAGTGGTTGAGTGCCCCTGAGTTCAAGCCCTAGTACCAAAAATAAAATAAAATAAAACAATTACCTTATCAATGACAAAGCCAGTACACACTGCTCCTCTCCCTCAAACTGAAGTGGCCTAGACCAAGACTTCAAAACTTCATATTGGGGGTCTAATTACCTCACTCAAAACCTTGACTCACACTGTCACATGAGAAAGTTATATAATCTTCGTATATTGCAGTATTCGGGGGTTCACTAGTTACTAGTTACTTAGGGTACACTAATCCTCCGTTCTAGTGTTCTTACAGAACTTTTCAGAAACATGTTTCAGAGCACCTCCACTCTGAATGTTACCATTTCTTAGGGAAAATTGCAGATTAGTCTGTATCTCTTTTGCCTTGCCACTTGTGGAGTCCTCTAACTTCTCATGGCCTCTGATTGACAGATTGGGTGATTATTCATCAATCCCTCCTGTTCTAACTTCCATGCTATTTGTCTTCACTTTCCTTTCCAGACACTTATAAGCTCCTTTCTGGGGCTTAGGAATTCACACCTGTTTCCTCTGTACCACACATTAATTATAAAGTGGGGGGAATCTATTATTGCTTATCATGAATTGTATTGTGTCTTTGCAAAATATATGTTGACATTTTGACTCAGAGAATATCTCAATGCATTTTTCAGAAAGAGGGTTATTAGATATATAATTACTTGTTATGAAGTGTGGAGATTGATTGTCCTTTATCAATTGTGCCTGATGACCTTATGAGAGAAGTTTGGATGCACACAGAGAGGAAACAGCCCTTGATGAAGGAGGCAGAGACTGGAATTATGCTGCTATATGCCAAGAAATACCTGTGGTTAGCAGAAAAAAGGAGAAAAGTAAAGATTCTCCCCTACAGTCTTCAGAAGCAGCACGGTCTTGTCAATATCTTGATTCTGAGTTTCTAGCTGCCAGACTTGCAAGGGAATATGTTTTTCATGTTAAACCAGTTAGTTTGTGGCACATTGTTATGGTAGATTTAGAAAAACAGTGCATTTCCTTTCTGCTTGGTTGCCAGGTTGCTACTGGTTTCTCTTGGGTTCCTGGCTACATCTCAGGAGGGTGAATCATCATCCATTCTATCCCGGGAAAGGCCTCAAACTTATCTAAACACTTTTTCCCTTGCTCGCTGGTTTTACAATAACTGTACCAAATCTAGGAAGCTCCTCAGTGAAAGAGGTACAGGAATCCTTTTTCAAAGAGTCAATAAACTTCAATTCTACTGACATTGCCAACGTTTAGTTCAGTTCTTATTGCCTACCATTGTGAGTTTTTTTTTTCCTCCCTACCAGTTCTTTTTTTTTTAATCTATGTGTTATTAGTTCTTTTAGCTATTTAGTGTCATAGATTGAAAACTAAAAAATAACAATGATCAAACATTTCCTTTTAGAGGGCTTGCCATTAGATATTAACAGTTAAGGATTTTAAGATAATTTCTCTACTATATATATAGTTGTGTTTCCCTAAATATCAGTTAATGATATAAGACATTATGTGGCATTCTGAATGCATTGCCTTAGAAGCAACTGAAATGCTGCAAAGCTTTAATGATGATTTTGGTCTTGTGTGAGGAAAATATTTTTAAAAACCTCATTTTTTAAATATATAGTGGGATATAATATTGGTGCCTTCATATAGGGTCTAACATTTATATTTAACCATAAAATCTGCTGTGTGATAACTTGGAATGATTTAAGCTATTGTGATTTTCAAAGATTTCTGATTGAATTTTAACAGTCATTTTTTTGCAGT